GGCAGAGGTTCCTTCCTCTTCCCGACTTGTCTAGGAAGATCAAAGGAGGTGACGCACATCACCTGACTCCCAGTCAACATTCTCCGTGGCTTTCGATGTTTTGGACTCCATGGTGACTTTAAGCAAAAGTTCAACTTCACCATCCGTCCAGATAAAGGAGTAAACCTTGCTCTTCGCATTTTTCTTTGATTTCTGGGCTGATTCTGTCATAATCCTAGCAATAAAATTGAGAATCATAACACAGAGCAAGATGCAAATTTCGCGCTCTTTACGATGCATGTTCCTACTATTCCCAGAGTTGTCCTAGGTACTAGAGTGAATCCGGATACGTGTCGGATACGTGTGGACGGCCAAATTCGATTTGAATCCCGATACGTGTGGACGTATCCGGAAAGAAAAAGGTGCGGAGTCAAAAATATCCGGATACGTGAGGACGGGGCCTGAATGATGGTAAGGTTATTTCTATTCTTATATGGCAGGGCGTAAACGCGTAACCTTCGGAACAGCTAGCCCTAAAAATGTTCAGCACAAGAATTACGTTCACGTTCTTAAATTTATAGCCTGAGTTTCATTCGATTACTCCCAGTCGTTATTACTCCCTCTGTAATATAACGTCTGAATCGACCGGCCGTTAATTCTGTCTAGTGACGCCACTATTCCTTTGCTTTAATTCATGCAAAAAGTAAAACACGATTTCAAGTGGCAAACCAAGAAATATCGTTTGGGAATGTCTGCATCGTTTCGATCGTAATTCATGTTTAACGTTCAAACTGTCAACTGTATGCTTTTCTCTGAACCGGTTGTAATTCCATAATCATGTACCTTGACAACTTTAGTCTCGCTTGCGCAAGCAGCGAGACTCATAATCTGCAACGCGTTTTTCGTCGTATTTAGGACACAAAAGGGGGATCATTGGGCAAGGCGTTCCTTGCGGAGACCGTGGAAACTGGGACTAAAAATCGTTGCGTGATCGAAGCCACCCATGTTTTGCGAAGAAAGCTTAGTTGAAAGATTAAATTTAGAGCTTTTCCGAAACGTGTCGGTCCACGAATTCTATCGCTTGAAAGCTTTCATTACTTTGGAACAAGTGATCACTACTGAGTGGTCGGAAAAAAAAAAAAGAATCTTAATTAGAAAAACTGCGATGGTCGGGTCTTGTAAACTTTCATTGTATGCAAATGACTCTTGTGATGAGCATGCGGTTTATTTTCGGCGATGATTGAAATGACGTGTCATGTAAATCACTTTTTTGATCTCCTTCAATGATGTAATTTCTCTGGAATCGAGGCCCTTGAATTTCCGTGTATTTGTTCTGAGTCAAATGTGTGAGATTGACCCGGATCTCCGGAAACGTCCCCGTGACTTCCCAAGATTTCCGATGACTCGAAATAACATTCCAGGAGGGCAAGGCAAAAAGAAAAGAGAGCCTGATACAAACCTTGTACGAAACGTCGTCCGCCCACGTTTTTGATTGATTGACATTTGCCGAATAAGCCAACCAAGATTAGTATACAAATTTTCCATACGTGGGAAAAATGCAGACTCGCTGAATTGAAAAATAGCTTTTATCTTTTAATTTTTTCAACTAAAAATAAAACGGTCAGCACAATCACATTTAACTTCTTGCGAGATTAAAGGCGGATCTCGAAGGTTATTTCTGTTCGCGTAGAAGGTAAAACGTTTTCCAAAAGACGGCGACACGATGTTCTAGTTTTGATATTTTGGCTAGGCGCGCTCGAATTTATAATATTGAAATTTCTTTTTTCCTGTTGCTTTTAAATTTTCCTCGGCAATTTTCCCCGATTTTCAGTACAGAAATCTTTAAAAATCAGTCTTGGAGAAATAATTCGCGAACTTTTTCAAAGGATATTTAAATTATCTCAGAACGAACCAAACGAGTTCTCAAGTGCATTTAATTTAGCTGATTTAGTCCCGTGAGTACACTTGCAATTTGCGAATTTACTACAGAAACAAACGTCTAAAAAATGTATATATTTTTAATAAATCCGGGTAAATATTATCTGCCAATTGGAAAGACGAAACGACACTACTAAAAATGCATGCTCAACTGACCTATAAACAAAACGAAAAAGAATATTATAAACACACATTGTAGTTCTCTTTAGTTGTAATGTTGTTTTACTGCAGGTCTGAAAAGCTCGCTAAATTTATTAATCGAAATTAACAAACAGCAAACAGCCAACGAGCGAGGACACCAGTTTTCCTGGCTTATTTTTTACAAAAAGCGAAGGCCAACAACAAGTCTGTTACCTTAAGACTAGCACCACTAGCTTTTATAATTATAATGCCTACATAAAATTCCTTGAACAGCGATGTGATATTTTTCGTCTAATACTTCACAGTTGGCGATTGAGGTTTCTTTCGCAGTGAGCCTCCTCTTGCATACCCCGTTCAGAGAAGTCATTCCTGGTTAAACTTTCAAATGACACCAGTTTTAAGATGGACAGCATGTTGATTTGAACTCGTTTGTTGGTAAATCAAAAGGCACATTGTTCGCGGTCAACATCTTGCAGAGAGATTCAACTCTGCGATACACTCACATTAGTGCCTTAAATAAAGCAAATCCTGAGAGGATATGAACAACCATCTGAATTTCTGAATTTCCCTGGCACGTATTAAGGCATATTTTCCTACTATAAGACCATAAAACACTAAAAAATACAGCAAAATCGATCCTTCTCTCCACCGACGGCTGATCATTCGGGAAAACAACTACGCGAGGAATGAGCGCTTTCAACTTCCGTTGATTACAACAGCCAATCAGATCTTGTGGCATTGTTCTAACAGCCAATCAGCGTTTTGGCCGCAGTGAGCGCAAACTTGTATTAGGCCCAACTTTTAGCGGTAGCCGTTAGAGAGAATGTATGAGAACCGCTAGAATTGGGCCCTATCTTACGCTGGCATACCACGGATGTCAAGCGACAATCCCGCTAAAATTTCTTACAATTATGCATAATTATACTAATGATTAGACAATCAACAATCAAAATCACTACCCGGTTTTCGGGTAGTGATGACGTCACTGGACGGCATTAACGGCCGGTCGATTCAGACGTTGCTGAGAGGAGAAAACGACTGGTAGCAATTGAATGAAATTCAGGCTAGCATCGTCCAACTGACCGTATTGTATTCTCGGGTGCTTTCCATTATGCCAGCCAAAATTTCCGGAAATTTCGGTCCAAACGTAAATGGAACTGTTCGGCCCAGGTGGAAATTTTCCGGTCAAAGTGGTCCACCTCCAGAGTGTCGAGGCTGTTTTCCTGCGTTTTTCTGTTAGCAGTATGTGACCCTAGCCCTTACGGCTTTGACAGTCAGTGCGAAAAAATCCGCAGCTCATTCCAACAACCTCCACTGGTTCGAACAAAGCCCTGTAAAGATGGGAGGCCGCAAACACGTCCGTTTACTTATTGCAAGCTACATGAAGTTCAAAGACGAATTTGGGAAGTCACACATTACCCAACAATCAATTCTGTCGAACTTTTGGTTCGGACACGTTCCATTTTCCCTTGATTGGTCCGAGTTACACGGCTTCCGTTCATACGTATCCGATGAAAACGATCAATGAAAACGGAAGTTTTCGAAAACGCTCTGCAGAGTGGAAATTTTTGAAAACGCTGTTTTCGCGTCTACTTGTGGACAGACGAAAACGAAACTTTCGAAAACGCTAAAGACACTATCTGTTCCAATCCTCTCCATGCAATATTAGAAACTTATTCAAGATGGCGGACTGGCGTTACCCTTTCTTGTCTTTTAACGCGTATGCGTCAAGCATGCGCAGTTGGGTAAGTTATCGTTTTCAAATCGATTCATCGTATACGTGTGGACGGGCGAAAACGATGCGAAAAAGCTGCGAGTGGACGCAAAATTTTTAGAAAACGGAGAAAAAAAGTTGCGTTTTCAAACGAATGCGGATACGTGTAGACAGGGCCTTAGTTTACTGAAGTTGATTTTTTTAAAATCGCGTCTTTCCTCTAATGTTCGGTCTACTTAAACTAATCCTGGGGTAGCCTGGACCCCATATAGACCCCGTGCTTCTAGTCAGTTCAGGCTTCCCCGTCACCATCTCTTTCTCTACACTTTCTCTCAATTCTAGAACCTGTGACTTGACAAAAACAAATAAATCAAATCAACCTCACTCAGTATTAAATTTTTTAAAATGAACACTCTTGTCAGTAAAAGTATTCCTATGTCATAAATGAACTTGAAAAGAAAAAGTTACATGGTTGATTAAATAAAGCAGCAGCATTTTAAATTAATTTAATAGTGAAAAGAGCATTGAGCAAAATTTCACTTAGCGATAAAAAAAGGTGGTCGCAGGGTGCAATTACGAGCTATAAATCCTCCACCTCCGCCCACCCCCTCCCACCCCCATTGCGTTCCTAATGGTCTCTCCGTAACTGACCCAGGCTTGATGCAATCTCACAGCTGAATCTTTAAATTTCCTACACTTTCTCGATACATTATTTTAAGGACCCTCTAGAATTTTTTAACCTGTGGTGTTTTCTTATCAGTTTGGTCTAGCCTGCACGTCTTATTAGGCGCCGGTGAATATTTTTTGGTTAGGTTAATTCGATAAAAACTGGCACCTGCTATGCAGGCTAGTTTAGGACCGTTTAGTTCAGTGATATAAACATATTCCAATAAGTGTGTATAAAATATATATTTATTCCTTTTTATTTGATCAAAAAGTTAAACGCTAAAAGGTTTTTAAAAATACATTGAAAAACATTTTAAAAAGGTGAACGACGTTTCGGCGCTACGTTACGCCATTATCAAGTTGAAAAGTGAAAAAGTATAAGGTGTAAAACGAATATATAAAATTTGAAACAATACATAAAATACTTGCGGGTCCAATGGGTATAATTCCCAAGGTAAGAAACACACACACACCCAAATAATAATAATAATGTACGAAAGTGTCACGTAAATAGTTTGGCGCGAATGGAGTCGGCTTGCGTGTTAAGAGAAGGCTTGATGTTTCAAGGTGTTTCCCGATGGCTGAATAACGGTGAATCACTTGTGCGTTGATGTAAGTGTCGGGAAGTGTACCCGACATAATTTGCATCGAACAAATCACATTGAAATAAGTATACAACGCATTGAGTGTTGACGATCGGGGGCTTGTTTTCCTTGACACTCAGGGTTTGTGACAGTTTTCTGCTTGTAAAGATGGGTTTTACGTTAACATCGATCTTGGCTCCCTGAGAATAGATATCTTTGCGTACGCGATCAGCTGATCGATGATCTTTAAAGGGCAATCCTATGTAAACAGATGGGTCTCCTGAAGGCACGGTGTGTATTTTTTCATCTGGTTCCTGGCTGAACTTATTTATAGTGGAACCCACCAACGTTTTCGGATAGCGCAGCTTTGAAAATATGGTGCGTAACTTGTTGCATTCTTTTGCAAAACCTTCTTTGGTGGAAGATAGACGGTACGCACGGTTAACCATCGTGTTGACTAGGCCTTTCTTGAATCTGCTGTCGACGTGGCTTTGGAAATGGAGTAGCAGTCCTGTGTAGGTTGGTTTTCTGTAGACTTCTGTTGTTAGAGTGCCACCACATCTTGTCAAAACTGTACCGAGGAACGGAATAGAGCCGTCATGTTCAAGTTCCATAGTGAAAGACAAGCTAGGGTGCACACTGTTGAGTACTTGAAGGAAATCTGTCGCTGATTCTGCGTTGGGCATTGTGACTTAAGTGTCATCAACATATCTTCGATAAAAAGACGGAATCATGCTCTTTTGTTCTAGTTGGTTTGCTAAATGGCACATGGAAACGTTAGCCAATAGTGGGCCCAGCGGTGAGCCCATCTCAAGCATGTTAAGGCATGGCCTGAGGCTAATTTGCATGAAATCTTACAATGGTCATAACTTCGTGAAAATTTATCAGAACCTTCCAAAATTTGGCAGCCTCGGAAAATTTTCCTGTAACGTAAGAAATCAAATATATGTGTCACGTGACCATTTCTGGTCAAGTCCAAGAAAGAAAAGAAAACTAAAAATGGGGTGGCGAGATGCCATACAGTATATATTACAGCGGTTACCACTAACACGCGCCTTGAAGGGTTTTTTCTGTCTGTTTAAACTTGAGTTTTCGTGGACGTCAATCAACTGTTTCCATGGTTTTCCACGCGCTCTGAAAGAGAAGGTTCTGTTATCGCTGAATGAAGGGCGAATAATTTCGAACGACGACGGCTTTTTAAATTATTTTATTAAGATGAAGGATTATATTGTTAAAACAACGAGGTCTCTGCGAGCTGAGTGAAATAGCCGAAACATTCTCTATAGTTTACGTAACGATTTTCAGGTTGTTTATTTATTTGACTGTATGAAAACACGGGAGCCGTGGACGCATTACCAAGAAGCTAGTGTAAATTCAAAGAAACAAAAGATATCACACTGAAAAGGGAAAAAGTTTCCTCTGAATGGAGTTTGTTTTCGAAAATGAATTTTACTACTTATCATTCTTCATGTTATCGAATAGAAACCAGAACTAGCAAGAACTCATACGAGTTGCGAGCGATTGAGAAAGCTTAAATATGTGGTTGTAACTTACAGTGTGTAAATTTGTCGATAATTTGAGTTTCCTCCGAAAAACACTCAACAAATTCTTTCCCCTCGTAATCTTGACATGATTGACGTCCACCAAAACGCAGGTTTGAACTGAAGAAAAAACCCTTTGAGGGCGCGTGTTAGTAGTAACCGCTGTAAATACAGTATTTTTGTTATTGTATCAACATTTCTCGCTTGAATCTGGCCGGAATGGTTGACTCACGTTTCTATTTAATTAGTAATTAAGCAAAATAGGCCACGTGACACTTTTCACCTGTTAATATCTTTTTAAGAAATTAAAAATTCTCTCAGTTGATGCTTTTCGAGTTGCATGCTTCGCGTCTTATTGAACCAGTCACCCTCGAAAGCTTTGTCGACGAGAATGTCAATAGTTTCTTTTAAAGGAACATTGGTGAATATTGCAGATACATCATAGGAGACAAGGATATGGTTAGGCTGGATGCTACTGTTTTTAATCTCGTCAATAAAACCAAAAATATCGTTGATACAATATTTGGTGATAACGGCTTTAATTTTTCATCCAGCCATTTCGCCAGCGGGTAGTTGTACGTGCCAGAGGCTGATAAGATGGGTCTCATGCACAGTCTTTCTTTGAGTGTTTTGGGGACGCCATACAGGTGCGCAAGTCTGGAACCTTTAGGGCAAAGTTGTTCGGACGTGGCTTTTGGAAGAATCTCGTGTACCTTCTCATGTAGCTGTTTTTCTTTCTCTAAGAGAGGGTGGAAATGTCTCGGAGTTCTTCCTCTGGTTTTTGGACGGTGTTGATCAATATGTGCAAACTTCGTAGAGTCGTTGACCGAGGCCTCACATAGTAGACGAAGATACTGGTCTCTGTCCATCACGACAACACCAGAGCCTTTGTCTGGTTTGGAGATGATAATGTCATTTCTTCCTTAAAGGTTGTTGAGAGCTCTCAGCAGTGCTTTAGGAGGAGTAGGGCCTTTCTTTGCTATGTAGTTAAGTGCGATTGAAGGCAAGGTGGCGGATGCCAGATCTTTTTTCTTGGGATCTTTAATGAGAAGATCTAATCTCCAAAACGCTTTTTCGAAGCTGGCTTGAATATCTTTGCTGTAGCAGTGATGAGGAAGAGAAAATTTGAGACCTCTGCATAAGATTAGCTTCTCGAAGAAAGATAAATGATACTACGAAATGTTGTTTATGTGTTCGTCTATGTCAATGTCCTTGGATATTAATCGAGAAAGTTTCTTGGTGTGACACTTTATCAGCTCTTGAAACTGTGTTCTTTGCAGCGATCGAAGTATTTTGATGATGATAACACATTTGAATACCGAGCAAGTTTCCCGTAGGTCGCGAAGGTTGTTGGTGAAGTCTTCCTTCAGTTGTTTGAGCTGGGACAATTTGCCTTTCAACTCCTCTTCAACGATTTCTCTTTCAAAGTTAGAAGCAGAAGCAGATTTCTTCCACTTGTTGGATCTTGTAGCATCGACTATCGCAAAGGTTGGAATTACGTCAAAGTTTTGACAAAGTCGTATGAAATCGATGGCGCCTTCGCATTTGATGAGTCGAATACTGCACTTTTCCAGACGTCTGAATATGTGCAGTTGATTGTCGCGTTTTAACGTATGTAACAGGAGAGATTTCGAAAATGATTTCATCAAAAAGTTAAAAAACATTTAAAAAAGGTGAACGACGTTTTTTCACAGTTTCAAGACTTGAAAACGTGTCACACCAAGAAACTTTCTCGATTAATATCCAAGGACATTGACATGGACGAACACATAAACAACATTTCGTCGTATCATTTATCTTTCTTCGAGAAGCTAATCTTATGCAGAGGTCTAAAATTTTCTCTTCCTCAGCACTGCTACAGCAAAGATATTCAAGCCAGCTTCGAAAAAACGTTTTGGAGGTTAGATCTTCTCATTAAAGATCCCAAGAAAAAAGATCTGGCATCTGCCACCTTGCCTTCAATCGCACTTAGCTACATCGCAAAGAAAGGCCCTACTCCTCCTAAAGCACTGCTGAGAGCTCTCAACCTTAAAGGAAGAGATGACATTATCATCTCCAAACCAGACAAAGGCTCTGGTGTTGTCGTGATGGACAGAGACCAGTATCTTCGTCTACTATGTGAGGCCTCGATCAACGACTCTACGAAGTTTGCACATATTGATCAACACCGTCCAAAAACCAGAAGAAGACCTCCGAAACATTTCCACCCTCTCTTAGAGAAAGAAAAACAGCTACATGAGAAGGTACACAAGATTTTTCCAAAAGCCACGTCCGAACAACTTTGCCCTAAAGGTTCCAGACTTGCGCACCTGTATGGCCTCCCCAAAACACACCGTGTAGGCCTCATGCATAGGCTTTCTTTGGCAAAGAAAACCTATGCATGAGGCCTATCTTATCAGCCTCTGGCACGTACAACTACCCCCTGGCGAAATGGCTGGATGAAAAATTGAAGCCGTTATCAACCAACAAATATTGTATCAACGATATTTTTGGTTTTATTGACGAGACTAAAAACACTAGCATCCAGCCTAACCATATCCTTGTCTCCTATGATGTGTCCGCAATATTCACCAATGTTCCTTTAAAAGAAACTATTGACATTCTCGTCGACAAAGCTTTCGAGGGTGACTGGTTCAATAAGACGCATAGCATGCAACTCGAAAAGCATCAACTGACGGATCTATTGGAAATCGCTACTATGAACCAGCTATTTCAATTCAACGGCGAATTGTATGAACAAACGGATGGTGTAACAATGGGCTCACCCACTATTGGCTAACGTTTTCATGTGCCATATAGAAAACCAGCTAGAACAAAAGAGCATGATTCCGTCTTTTTATCGAAGATATGTTGATGACACTTTAGTCACAATGTCCAACACAGAATCAGCGACAGATTTCCTTCAAGTACTCAACAGTGCGCGCCCTAGCTTGTCTTTCACTATGGAACTTGAACATGACGGCTCCGATTCCGTTCCTCGGTACAGTTTTGACAAGATGTGGTGGCACTCTAACAACAGAAGTCTGCAGAAAACCAACCTACACAGGACTTCTACTCCATTTCCAAAGCCACGTCGACAGCAGATTCAAGAAAGGCCTAGTCGACACGATGGTTAACCGTGCGTACCGTCTATCTTCCACCAAAGAAGGTTTTGCAAAGAATGCAACAAGTTACGCACCATATTTTCATAGCTGCGCGATCCGAAAACATTGGTCGATTCCACTATGAATAAGTTCAGCCAAGAACCAAATAGAGAAACACACACCGTGCCTTCAGTAGACCCATCTGTTTACATAGTATTGCCCTTTTAAGATCAGCGATCAGCTGATCGTGTACGCAAAGATATCTATTCTCTGGGAGCCAAGATCGATGTTAACGTAAAACCCATCTTTACAAGCAGAAAACTGTCACAAACCCTGAGTGTCAAGGAAAACAAGCCCCCGATCGTCAACTATTTCAATATGATTTGTGCGATGCAAATTATGTTGGGTGCACTTCCCGACACTTACATCAACGCATAAGTGAACACCGTTATTCAGCCATCGGGAAACACCTTGAAACACAGCATGGCAACAACAGAACAAAGACTGACCATCGTTTCAAAGTTCTGAGGAAATGTGATAGCAAGTTTGATTGCTTAGGCTACGAGATGTTATACATAAAGGACATCAAGCCTTCTCTTAACACGCAAGCCGACTCCATTTGCGCCAAACTATTTACGTGACACTTTCGTAAATTATTATTATTATTTTGTGTGTGTGTGTGGGTGTGTGTGTTTCTTACCTTGGGGATTATACCCATTGGACCTGCAAATATTTTATCGATTGTTTCAAATTTTATATATTCGTTTTACACCTTATACTTTTTCACTTTTCAACTTGATAATGGCGTAACGTAGCACCGAAACGTCGTTCACCTTTTTTAAATGTTTTTTAAATGCATTTTAAAAATCTTTTAGCGTTTAACTTTTTGATCAAATAATTTTCGAAATCTCTTCTATTCCTTTTTAGTCCGTTATTCATCTCACATGACAGGCCTCAAGTCCTCCTCGTGACAGATTGGAGACGAACTTGTTAAAGTTTGTCAGTTACGGACCATAGTCCATGACAAGAGAAAAAGTAAGTCTTTATTTATATGTTACTTGTCATTGTTATTAGCAATTTTTAACCTTTGTTCTTGATAACCCTTGCATTTAAGGATTACATCTCCAATAAGCCTCATGAATTCGATGTTTGGTAAACGAGGCAAAACGTTTCATATCTTTATATACGTAGCGGCAGCATGTTATACTCCTCTTTTACATGTATGTGTTTGTTTTAATTAGCCCTCTTTGCCTCGCCGTATTGCCACAAGAATTCGAAAGAAAGTTTACTTTGAAACGAGCCATAAAGTGTCAATTATCATTAAAAAATAAGACAAATTTAACGCCACTTTAATATATGATAGTGATGACCTAAGACACAATAAACAACAAGACCCCCATGAGAGGGGGTGTCTATAAAAAAAAGTCCATCAACACCTAGGAGACAGTTTTCTTTGTTAGATGCCGAGCGACACGAAAAGGATAGGGTCTTCGTTTTGTAGTTTACTCAGGGTCAAACTACAGAACGAAGACCTCGCTAAAACGTTTTGTCAGATGCAGAGAGAAGAAAAAGATAGAGAATTCGTTTGGTAAAATGGGGGTCGGGAGGCAACACACGACTTTTACCGCATGCCAAAATGCTGCTTGTTCCAATGAATCTTTTCTCTGGTGGGTGTATTATGTTTTGGAGGAAAACGTTTTGACTGAGAAAGTGATTTTTGCCGCTTATTTTTCATACTGAGAGGGCATAACACGCATATTGATTTTCTGTGGTTATTGTTTCTGGTTGGCATGATTTGCCCTCTGATGCAAGAGCATTTTCTTTGAAATGTAAAGCTCTTCGGCTAAATAAGGGTTTTATAGGTTGTTTAATTTTCTCTAAAGTGCCTCCTGTATCTGAACTAGAACCACTACGTGGAACTTACCGGGGCCCAGTGGGACACGGGATTGCATAGATATAGTTTACCTCTCGCACCCCTCCCCCCTCCTCTGTGGAGGCTAATACTTAGTCTGAATTAACTCATGCAGAAGAAAAGCAACAAAATGCATGAGAAAGGAGGATGTTGTTGGAAGTTTGTTCAGTGTTATTACAGCTAACGGTCTGTGTTATAGTAGTGTTTTTAGTAACACTGTGATGTCAATAAGTGTGATCTGTATAAGGTTTTCATTTGTTTTTAAGTTTGAGTGAAAAAGCAAAAATCACTGACAGTTTTGGGTTGAATGGTAATGACAAAGTTTGCAAAGAAGTTTGTTACAGAATTATCACAATTTCACATTTTCTCAAGTACGTTATCATCAGGTTTATCATTGAGATTTATTAATCACATTTATCTATTTTTTGCGAAAACACTGTGAATTTGAAATGACAACAGACATAAGACATTTTTGAAATAGATCTTTGTGGTCATGGATTGTTGTCTTGCACTGTAAAAAATGTCATCCAGTGTTATATACAGACATAATAAAATGCTTATTTATTGATGACTGAGTATCATTTGCTAATTCATTGCACATTGAAATGGAGGCTCTTGATTGTAAGGCAGTGGTTGATACATAGTAGCATTCATCAATATGACCTATAATAATTGTAGAGGAAGTATTTCTTTCCTGAACTGGGTAAACAGTAGCATATCTGTAACTGCTTGAATGATAAGTGCATCAGCCCATGCACCTTGAATACACATATTATTCAGATATCTTAGCCATGAATTTTCGGTATTGCTCTCAATAAATCTCTCTGGATTGTCTCTCATAAATTGAACCCCAGCAGTACGTATATGCATATGATGGTTGCTATTGCCATATAATTGATGTGATACAGATCTAAATTTAAAGAAACAATCACCTGCACCGCCAACATCTATTGATTGTAAACAAAGTGCACCTAATCTTGACTGCATCAAATTCTCAGAGGAAATAGGAGAGTTCAACTGCATTGTTGAGCTGTGATTTTGCATAGAAGGTCTAATTATTACTTCATGATGATCAGTGTTGTATTGAGTAGGTCCTGGATTCTTCTCAACATCTTTACTTGGTTTGAAATTCACATAATTGGTCATATGACTCATGATCACACAATTGCAAGAAAACAATGATAAGTATCGACGTGCTTTACATTTTAGTTTGATTATCCTGTGATAATAATAAAGAAAGACAACAAATAAGCTTTCTTGGGTATAGCCATTTTATTTAAGTTAATTATCTTTGGATCGCGTTTGTTATTACATTTATATCGTGCATGATAAAGTTTTCTCACCTTATTAACATAGCGATGGAGCTTTGAAGACTTCGGTATGTCAATCAGTGAAATCTTTTTGAAGACAAATTTTGATAAGTGTTCGCTTTGATTCTCGATAAATTTCACGATGGAAGGTTCAAATTTCTCGATAAGTTTCACGATGGAAGGTTCACTCTTAAGTGATCGCTCGTAAATTTGTCTCTCCAAATATTCACTCTTAAATTTTCGCTCATAGACTAGTGCATCGTAAAGGTTGGGGAACGTGTCGTTCCCCCAAAAGCTATAATCTTTCTCTTGACTGTCCTCCATGCCTCGTTCTTTTCAAAATGGCGGATAAGATTTCAATGAGCCAGCGATATATCTCAGTCAGCGATATATCCCTAACAATGTAACGTTGAAAAAACGGACCGTCTGCATTTTAAGACCGGTGCCAGCCTTCGGCTGGGCTCCGGTAATAATCATAGGCGTTTTCTTTTTGTCCGTAAATGTGACGGTTTCCCAGCATGTGTTTTATCGGGTTTAACATACTCGGATACGCCTCGTTTTATATAAAATCTGATAAAACACTGATGCTCGTTTATTAAACATTATATAATGTTGGGAATTGAGTGTATATTAAACGAGAATCGCCGAAAAGCGAAAAAGTCTTTATTCAAAACAGTGTTGCGTAAAAAAACGGTAGCGTAAGAAAGCTGTTTTCTTATACTGATTTATATTTGTAAAAGGACAGCTTTTTTTCAAAAAGTATTTTGTAAAAAACGGTCATACTCTAAATGTTGCTGGCGAATTCAGCTTGTGTTCATATTAAAGTTGTTCAGCCTTTACAAGTGTTTTCTGGCTTATTTCTCGATCTTTAAAATAAAACACGCATTGGCGTACATTACAGACCGCCTTTATACCTAATTCTTATAAACAAATCGGCTGCTGATTTTATGGCCTTACAAGTTGCTCTGTGTATTGCAAAAATTAGACTAACAAGCGAGAGTATGTGCGCTTGTAGGCAAGCGTTTCCTTTTGTTTGATTAGCTGACTGAACATGTTCCCACATCATGCTGGAAACTTAAGCTGTAACGCAGACATGACACTCTTGCATGCATCAACATGGATTTCAACATAGCATGAATCCCGTGATAGAAATCTAGCGCAACATAATACAGGAAATTGCCTAACAGTTGCTGTCTTTCTTGATACTCAGTTTTTAAACAGTGTTGTGCCCTTGCAGACACCAATGACTCGCGTTATAGCCAACTGTTTTGTTGACAGTTAAACCGATTATTGCAGCTGATAACCTTGGGAAAATAGGTAAATAATACATATTCTGTTCATAAATATATACATAAATAATAATATATTCTGTACAGTTTTCGGCTTGAACGAAAGTAGCAATGAAGGAAAGAATAGAAGGCTTTGGTTGCTGCAAGAGATTGTGACTGGCATTACTTATAAATAAGACAGTGAATAACCCAGCTGTTCTATTATTGCCTAAGATGCAGTTACTGTCGTGTGTCAGACTTGGGCCAATAAGCATAACAAATGAAATTACTGCCTGTTCCTTCTTCGCATGTTATAGAAAACAGCCTGTCTTCGATAAATGGGTTGTCAAATGGTCTAAAGGAAGAGCATGAAGCTCTTTTTTTTCACGAAAATTTATGTGTAAAAAGGCAGGATTTTTACATAAAAAGGCAGCTTTCTTACAAAAATATATTTTGTAAAAAAACAGCTTTTATACAAAAATATAGTTTTGTAGAAAAGCAGACTTTTTACATAAAAAAGAAGCTTTTTTACAAAATATATTTCTGTAAAAAAGCAGGCTTTTTACAT